CTCTCTCCTCTTCTCCCCTCCCCTCTCTCTCTCTCCCTTCGTACCTCTTCCTCTCCCTGGCAGGCGCACCTACCTGGGTCCTCCAGGCGACTCTGGGCGAGGCTGGCGCTGCCCGGGTAGGACTGCACCGAACTGATGTAGGGGCTGGACGCGTGGCTGCTGACCGAGTTGACGTAGGGGTAGCCCAGCGGTCGGGAGAAAGACGAGGCCGAGCTGTAGGCGCCGTCGGGCTGCGAATGGCCTGCCGAGTGTAAACAGTGCATGGAGTAGTGCCCGTGGGACATGGGAGAAGGAGACATTTGCTGGTTGGGCGGCCCAAACTCCATAAACACCGCCTTCCCCGACACGGGGCTGTTGAGACTTTCTGGCATGGTGGTCATGGTCATCTCTTCTCGCGGGGTCTGGGTGTGGGTCTCTCTCTCTCTCCTCTGCTTTCCTTTTGGGGGTCTCTGTGTTTCTTAGGACAGGAAGGAACCCAATTTAAGCGGAACAGGGGTTTTCACTTTCCATTCATAAGAAAATGGAGTTTGTCTCTTTGAAAAGTCTAAGCATGATGCTGCCGAGCTCCCAAAACTCGCTTCAAAGCTTTGACTCAGCCAAGGTCATAAATATTCATGAGCTGGCGGAGCTGATTGGTCCGCTGCCTTGCATAATCACCGGGGATTGGTCCGAGGCGCTCCGGCTCCGCTGGACTAGAGCAGGCAAGGCGGCCCGGCCTCCGAAGAGACGCGTCCACACTTTCCGGCCGGGGCTCCTCTGCAACAGAGCGCGCTGTTTGGGGCGCACAATGGTCTGTGGCGCCCGCGCCCGGACCTCCGCGACCCGCAGCTCTCCAGCCTCCCGCCTTCCGGTGCTCCTAACATCCCAGAAACCAACCAGCGACTCCGGGCCTCCGCCCTCCCCTCCCCCCACTGCCCCTACCCCTTCTCCCCCTCCAACACCTGGGACCCTGGCACTGCTTCTCCTAGCCACCGCCACCCGTCCCGGTGGTGAGCTAGGGTGGGTCTGAAGCCTGGCCACTGTCTCCGAAGCGCGAAGCCGCGCCCTGGGGTCGCTGGAGGCGGCCAACAGAGCTGTCCTCCCCAGCGTCTTGTGCCTAGCTCAGTGCTCTCCGGGCGGCCCCTCCCTGGCCTGGGTCCGCTCTGCCACATCCCTGGGTGAGGTTTGGGGCCCTCCGGGCAAACTCACTCACTCGGCCGCCGCGCCGCCGCCGCTGCTCCCTGGGGCCCGCTCGCATTGCTCCAGGCCCAGCTGGCCACTCCAGCTCGAGGCTGCACCGGTCTGATTAAAACAGTGCGCGCCGAGAGTCAGGAACCCGCGCTTCTCCTCCCAGGAAAGGCGGCCGCACCGCCCCCGACTCTCCAACACACACCCCCTCTTCCCCTCCCAACCTTCCTCCGCCTCCCCCTCCCCTTTCTACTCCCTGTGCGCGGAGCGCCCAGGGCTCATTTGCCCCAAGGGTGCGGCGCCGAGTGGAGCCGAGGAACCGGCCGGCTCAGTTCTACCTGAGCCGCGGACTCGAGGTGGTCATTTTCCGGTCTCCAGGGGTCTGGCGAGAGTACTGGGGGTTTAGGAGTCCTGGGGGACATCGAAACCCACGGCAAAACCAGGCCAATTGTAGGCTTATATATCTGTGTGTGGACATGTCCCCCATTATCGCCCAGGATCCTCCTGATCTCCAGTGGTCAAAGAGGGCGCCACTGGACCTGGGGACAGAGCCGGTAGAGGCAAAAGCTGCCAAGGCGCCTTGTATCTTCTGGGGCTGTAGGTACAGAAAAGTGGACAAAGCCCCCAGCTGTCACAAACTACGCAGCTACCCCGCGAGGCGTGGCGTACCACGCTGCCTGAGAGGGGCTGATGGTTCCCCATCCCTCCAGCCCCACGGTGAATCCCAAATTACTTTGTTAGGTAATTAGAAAGTGTTGATAATTATTTCTTTCATAATTTAGTGGTGTGACGGGAACGGGGAAATGATCTTGTGAAAGTTCACACGTGCAGATGTATTAGTTACTGATTCATTTGATTAAATGGTAGTCTCAAGTGCTCGGATCCGCAGCTGAAGGCGCCCCATTAGCATAACACTGATGTTTAATTTTCATACGCATAATTAGCCATATATTTAACACTAATAGCAACATGCAGCCTTTCAGCGTTAAACAGCCCGGGATTTGATCTGGCCTGAGCTGAACCTTCGTGGATGCACCTTCCCCTGTCTGGAGTGCGCAGTGATCACAGGACAAACCTCTGTAATCAAGCACATTTTGGCAGAGGGAACACCAATAAAAATGAACATTCAAAACAAATTACATCGGTGCTGTCGTTACAGATATTAGTGGAAGGGGCTTTCTCTCTCTCTCTCTCTCTCTCTCTCTCTCTCTCTCTCTCTCAACTTCTGTAACAGTAGCTGCTGCCCGCGGAATTCCTCTCCTTTGGTTTAAGTGCACGATGTTGGGGGTAGAAATATTTCAGGCAGCGTGGTTGGAGCAAAAAGAAAAACAAAAGCAAAACAAAAAACAAAAAACCTCAACCACAACCAATCCTCCAAACCAATAACGAGTTTGCCAACGTTTAAAAAGATTTTTTCCCCCCGTAATCGCTCAAACACACGGTGATGCTTTATAGCAACAACCAGCTAGTGACTCCACTACCAGACAACTCCCGGAGCTGCTCGACTCCTCTTGGTTTACGTGTTGCACTTGTGGTTTTAATTGCTCCTTCTAGCGCCTGTTTTGGGGTGTGGAATGAGGTGGCTGTGCTCCCTGCACAGCAGCACGGATGCCGCCAGGGCCCCTGGTCTCCTGCGCACCTCGCGGGCCCTGCCCACGTAAGTGATTTGCCGCGGCTGGCGCGGGGTACAGGTGGGAACCGAGGGAGGCAGGGCTGGCGACTCCCGATGCTCAGAACAATGCGTGAAGAAACCCGACGGCTGGGCCGCCCAGACCCAGTTTATTCCAGAGAACCGCAGGGTGGGGGGGGGAAAGGGAGACAGGCGGCCACAAGTCGCGTGCTGTCCATCTGGCGGGAGGATCTAAGACACTCACGGCTCGGGGAAGGGGCTGGCTCCGGGGAACAAAGGACCCGCACGCGCTCCCTCGGGATACGGCTTCAGAGTCTTGCTTCTGTGGGCAAGGGAGTGTCTACACTCTGGGATTATTTCTTAGCCCCAGAGAAACAGGTCCAAGGAGGCGCGGCTGAGCCGGGGCACTCCGGCGCTGAGACGCCGGCCTTGACTGGCTTCTCAATCAGCGATCTTATCTCGATGAGCCCTCCCACCTCCCACCGCTGAGGCTACACCTGTTCTGAAAAGCCGGTTTGCTTAGATCTTTACCTGTCCCAACTCTGAGAAGAAACAAAACTGTCCCATGTATCCCGAAAGTCCCGCGTTGCGAGTAGAACCTCGCAGAGACACCGCAGGACCGGGCGGCTGGTGGTGTTAGCGGTAGCCACGCGTGAGCTGGATTCCCGGCCGCCCCGGGTGAGGTTTGGGGCCAGTTCAGCTGGCGGGGGTGAGGGGTGTCGGGGGTGGACAAATTATTTTAAAATCTGCTTCCTAAGTTCATTTTCAAAGCATGTTAAACGAAGTTCATTCTAAATGAAGTTTGTTTCCTACGAAGCTGCAGAGTATTGTCTGATGCTGGTATATATACACTTATATACGTATGTATAATGTTTAAACCTTAGGCTAATTACTTTAATAAAAGGATTGTAAACCCCTCCCATAAATACCTCCAACTCGGACTAATTGCTGCACAAGCAGTGCGTTATTCCCGTGGTTGGTAAAAATCCTGTGGTCCTAATAAAATTATTCTTGGGGAACCTCAGAGTAAACTGATCCTTAGATAAGATACAGGCTAATTGTTGCAATCCGATTGCTCTAGAAGAGAAGTGAAATCATTCTCTGGTAAACCTCTCCCAAGGCCATCTGGGCCTTGTTCCCCTCTAGCGGCTCGGATCGTTTGGGGGAGCAGCCTCAGTCTCTAGGCCTTTTCTTGGCCAATTCTCCAGGACCCAAAAATTTCTGTATGGACCTTATAAATCTTCAACCCCACCCTCCTATTTTCTAGCTCTCAGAGCCACTAGAATGGGAATCATCTCTGTCCAAATCCCTTATCCCTGGAAGCAGAGAAAGAGCTGAGGGGTTTGGAGGACCCTCAAGAGAATTCTGAGTTCAGGAGAAAGCTTGACCTGAACTCTCTCCCCAGAATGCTCGTTGGCCTTCGTTTCCTATCTCTTCCCACCACTCAGTGTCACAGAGAGGAGCTGGCTCTTGGGGCCCAGTCACAGAGGCCACCTGTCATGGGAACTACAGGTGCCCATATTTCTTTGGCTCCCTCCAGCCCAAGCTATATTTAATGGATGGCAACTTTGCAAAACTCCTTTCAGTAGAAACAAGAGCTAACCCAACCACTGACCACCTGGACACCCTAACTGGACTTGTTCCTAAAACCACAGCCAGACGGGAACTGCTAGAGGCTCCTCCCCTCTCCTCCCGAACCCAGGTGTGAACAGGTCTTGAGGAGCATATGCATGGGGAGGGTACTTCCGGCAGGAAAGAGCCTTGGGAGATGCAGAATGTGGGTACTTGGATTTCCTGCTTCTGAAACAGGTGGAGCTGTGTTGAAACTCACTAGCTCCAGTCGGGCTAACTAGGCCCTTGCCTCAAAAGTTTCCGTATCTCCACTTGCTGGGATCCTCTAGGTCTCCCGCGCCTGAGCGCGAGTCCAAAGGGGACCAGTAAGGGGAGAGGTCAGTTTACGGGCTAGACCAGCCTGGTGCCCAAGCTCCAATTCTTAGTGTAACAAACGGTCTAGCGTGTGTGTGTGTGTGTGTGTGTGTGTGTGTGTGTGTGTGTGTGTGTGTGTGTGTGTGTGTGTGTGTGTAGGGGTCTGTCAAGTAACCTCTGGGATGGTCCCGCAGGGCAGGATGAGGGCCGGGGAGGATAAGCCACAGGCGACCGGGAAAATCATGTTTTTAGATTGATAAAGCCCTGCAGAAGAAAGGCCAGGGCCCGGGTCTCCACAGGCAAGGAAATGCTTGCAACCAGCCCCTCCATTCGGGCTAATCTTTTCATCGCAACGCAGCTACGAAGGGGAAAGAAGGGAAAGGCTGGGGAGAAGCTGGCTTCTGCGAGTGCCCTCAGGGCCGGCCAATGTGGGATCCACAAGGGGAAAAAAAGAGAACTTTAAAAAAATTCCGAGGTAACAGCTAGGCTTGGGTTTTTCTTTCTGCGCGCATGTGAAAAGTTCAGAAACTCAAAAATTAACCACCCAACCCTCGTCTCCCCCTAGTAACTGTCAGAGACGCAAGGAACACAGGCACAATGGGTTTAAGAGGTGAAAGCTTTATACTTGGGCAGCGCCAAGACAAAGGAAAGAGAAAACCATGCATCTCTAGGAATCCCTCGTCTTCCAAACGAAGGCGTCCCCATTCTCCCCCTCTCCGCCCCCAGAAGCGTTTTCCGAGCTGGTGAGCAGACAGCCCACCAGGATCCGTCTGTCCGAAGCCGCGCGGCCACGCAGAGCTCCAGATCTGAGTTCTCAACTGCCCCCAATCCCCACCGGGTTTGTCCAAGACGCTACTAGATGCTAGGTAGGTTACTGCGCGACCTGCCGTCAGCCTGTTTCTTCTAAAAGTTGTCCAGCTGGATTTCAGCGATTCAGGAGAAAAGGCGCCTAGCCGCTGCGACCTTTGGGCCGCTCCTCAGGCCTCGTGGGGCAGTTTGGTCAGGATCTGCGCACCCCCCGAGGTGATGACAACTGTATGCTCGAACTGGGCGGACCTGAAACACACAAGGCAGCTGTCAGGACGCGCGGAAGAGCGGGCGGGGCAGGGAGCAGCAGCTAGCCAGCGCCGTCGGACGGGTCTTCCCTTCCCATGTAATTCAAAAGCAACGGGGCAGAAAGCAAACACCTTTGATTGTCCAGGGAGACCACAGTCCATGCATCCTCCAGGACTTTAAATTCAGGGGATCCCTCGGTTATGATTGGCTCTGTAAGAGGGAAAATATTTACAGCAGTGATCTAGTCAAACGTTGTTTCGGCTGATTATCAAAAAAGAGAATAAGAAGGTTCTCCCCCCTCCTCCCAAGTACTTCCCCCACGAGTTCATGTTGTCATCTCGCAAGGGCTGATAATTGATGTTGCTTACATAGTATGCTACAAACTAAACAGTAGGAAGAGGAAATGCACGGCATTCAAAATGTATGAAGTTGCCGAGATCGTAATTTTTTAGAGAAAAAAGGGCATTTTAATCAAGCCTTAATTAGGACCCTGTGGATAATAACCACCCAAACACCAGTTCCTCTTATAAA